ATTCATGCAAAAAAACACACTTCCCACTAATACATGAAAATTTACAGTGTGTGTGTGTGTGTGTGTGTGTGTGTGACTGTGTGTGTGTGTGTGTGTGTGTGTGTGTGTGTGTGTGTGTGTCTACTCAGGGGACAGGAAAGTGCTGGGATTGTCACAAGTAATGGAGCCAGTCCACCCACGTACACAGCACACAAGGTAACACTGAATCATGATCAGAACCTTCTTATATGATAAAACAGAAGCACAGTTTAACCCAGCATCTCAAAAACAGACCCAGGACGTATTTGGGTTGCGTCCTGAATATATTTCCATTTGGCACAGTTGCATCAAAACAACCCAGCTGGTCAGAATCACACTGAGCACTTTAATGTTTGGCCTTTACAGACATGTTTTAAAGCCTTCAGACATCCTCATTGTTTGCTGATTTTCTGCTTTTTAACATCACTTTTATTTATTTTAAAATATTTTTGTGCAAGTTAAAACCTTCACAGAGCAATGTTGTCATTTTATAGGGAATGGGATTAGTGAGCACCGCTTTTTCACCAGAGGCTCTCACTAAACTGCGCTATGGTAACCTCGGCATTTGCCACACACGCTATTCAACCACTGGGATCTCAGAGCTGCAGAACTGCCAGCCCTTTGTGGTGGATACACTGCATGGCAAGATTGCTGTAGCACACAATGGAGAGCTGGTTAATGCCCATGCCCTGCGGAAAAAGGTGAGGAGGGGGCTCTGCTTGTCCACACTGAATGTTGCGCATATCAATGTGACATAAAAATAATGAACTGAACACACACAGACACAGTTTTTCTTTCTGCTGAAATATTTATTTGCTATATCCAATCTTAACGAAGGTTATGGGCTGGATGTCAACACTTTCACATACCAGAGCTGCATCCATCATCCAGTCAAAGGATTTGTTTGACTATTAAGTGTTTTGCGCTCTCAAAAGAATTTGTATCTGCAGTTAATGCTCGCATTAATGAGATACAAAATGAATAGCTTTTTAAAATGTATATCTCTTAAGAACATTTCAGGCTGAAAATCTAAAAAAAAAACCCCAAAAAACCCCCAATCTATAAAATGTAAGCTACATTAAACTGATTTTGCCCCAGGGTGGCTGTGGCTACAACGTAGCTTGCCATCACCAGTGTGTGAATGTGTGTGTGAATGGGTGGATGACTGGTTGTGTAAAGCGCTTTTGGGTCCTTAGGGACTAGTAAAGCGCTATACAAATACAGGCCATTTACCATAATTTAACAAATGTGTTCCCATCCTGTCTTTTTCTCACCTTTCTCAGCAACCTCTCTTCCAATCTGAGGCTAAAATACACAGGAAGTTTTGATTATATTTATGAGACTGTGCACTGAGTGAGAATTCCACACATGATTTGCCATGAAAAATCAGTACCAAATCATTAACTGCTCTCTTAAACTTCACTCCAAATTTCAAAAGTCTGAACGCTCAAACAGGCTTTTTGAAGTTCTGCCATCACTCTGATGGTTCAGTAAATCGATTACATTTACCTTGTCAAAGGTGATTTGAGACACTTACTCATGCTGGTTGTATAAGTGGATCTTGAGAAAGCTGTATTACCATAATCTGCTCGTTCGACACTGCTATTTCTATGATTATGCTTTCATCCAACCTGCACATTCACTGAGTGCATATTTATAACTGTCCTCTTTTTTTTCTTTTCTTTAAAGGAATCTTATGACAATCCATGCACTTTATATTATATATCTAGTCGACCAATTACGATGAATTAATAAGATTTTTTTTTAAACGCAGACCTTGTCAGCTGGATTTGGTTTTTAACCAATTATACATAACTTAACCTTTCAGAAGGAAATTTAAAGCTTTACATCAAATAAGTCCTCTTCTTTAGGTAAATTTAGACTGCCTCCCCTTTTTCCTAACAAGAAGTCAGTATCTCTATTCATAAGTGGCACTGAAACATGCTCAGTCCAGCTGGATCACATCAACGTCCCTTCTCGAGTGCACTTTGTGATCACTAACAAAAATCTGTGTGTCATGTATATGTGTTGTTTTTTTTTTTTGTTGTTTTTTTTTTTAAGACAAGCCAGACCTTTATATGGAATATACAGTACGTACTACCTATTGAACTGGACGGTGAAATAGATCATCAATAGACCAATGGATTAACTTCATACTCTTAGTTGTCCTTTATGCTCAGCAGCCATCTTGGAAACTGCTTCAGGTGATTATGTGGACAATTATTTTAAAGTGATTTAGTTGATAACATTCAGTTGGCAAGTAAAGGTCACTGTTTCATTTCCAGCCAGAGACACAAATCCTCTTTGTGCATCAAGAAAGTCAGCCGGTATAAATCTCTGCCAACTTAAACATGTGGCCAACCTCTTGTGACAAGCCAGAATCTTAAAGTAGCTTTGTCTGATCTGAAAAACCCATAAATTTCATTTTGATGGCCACTGAGACGTAAAAGCAGGACTGATTTAGAAATAAAATGTAAAAAACACAAAACACTTTTCTCCAGAGTCCTGACTCACATTATAGATGCAATAATTGAAGGAAAAACAATAAGTAGACTTATGTATATCTTTGTGTCATTATATAGCAGCTGTGCCTAAGCGCAGTTAAAACTATCATGAACATCAGGCGAGCCTAGACGTCAGTGCAACAACATGATTGGCCTGTGTCTCTTTCCCAGCGTGGCTGTTGAGTGGCTCTTTGAGGGCAGGGGTGTGACAACCATTTCCATTATAAAATTTTCCAAAGACTGCTATTCCACAGAAAATAACATTATTCCATAATTAATCAGTCACTATAAATGTGCCTTGTAGGTGATGCGCCATGGTGTCGGCCTCTCCACCAGCTCAGACAGTGAGCTCATCACCCAGCTGCTGGCACTGACTCCACCTATGGAGGAGCTAGACTCACCTGACTGGGTTGCCAGGTGACTGTTGTGACCTAATGATACATAAGCATATAAGCATAAATATTTTTGCTTTACATTACTTTAATGCTGTTTTTATTTGTTTATTTTTGTTGTTGTTGTAGAATTAAAAACCTCATGACTGAAACGCCAACATCATACTCACTGCTGGTCATGTTCAAAGATGTAATCTACGCAGTGCGTGACCCTTATGGAAATAGGCCACTGTGCATTGGGCAGCTCGTTCCCATCTCTAAACTGCACAATCCAGGTATCTACACAGTTGTTGCATGTGACCGTCGCATCAGAATTAGTGCAACTGCAGAACACAGGCATGTTTGCTCTCAAAAGACTAGCTTTACTGATAAAAAGGACGCCTCACGAGAGGTCAATGGTTGCAGCAGAGCTTTTGGCCCTTTTGAGTTTGTCAGAGGTCAGATGTGTAAGCTGGTGAATGATTAAGTGATTCTTGTTTTTTTTAAGCAGGCGCTCAAGAGGAAGACACTGAGGGGTGGGTTGTGTCATCAGAGTCGTGCAGCTTCCAGTCGATTGGTGCCAAGTAAGCATTTGTTACCTTTGCAAAAGTATTCTTTAGTATAAAAGGAACCGTAATGCCAGGTGTAAATCATTTTTATAACCTTATTTTTTATTGTTCTTTCTTTCCCAAAGGTTTCATATCATTTGCCTTAGGCCACGAGTACTTTTTTTTTTTTCTATTTTGGCGCTTTACTCTTTCCCCCCCCCCCCCTTAAAGATGGCTTTCGATAACAATCCTGTAACCTAAATGACAAGTTTTGACTAAGGCTGTCAGTGTTAATCGCGTTAAAATGACGTTGACGCGTTAACGCAGCATATCTCCGTTAACGACCGACATGATTAATGCCGACAGCCCTAGTTTTGACACCTTAGTATATTCTAGTAAAGACGTGATTCAATGACCATCGTAATAGTTCTGGTGTTTCCCAGCGGTAACGACATAGCTTTTGATGCACGCCCATTGCTGTTCGGTTCCGGGTCGCTGCTCGTGCGGCCAGCTACCTAGCCTGACTTGTCTCCCCAATGTGATGTTTGTGTATTTTATATACGGTCGGCAAGGTCAGTCTCTTAATTGCCCCTTGGGGATAAATTCTTCTGAATCTGAATGCATGAACAGTGAAATGGTGTTCCTTGAGTCCATCCGCTCATTGTACTTTTTTGTCGTTATTGATTAACAGGTACTACAGAGAGGTCTTGCCAGGAGAGATAGTCCAGATATCCAGACATGGTGTCAAATCTCTGAGTGTTGTGCCCCGACCTGAGGGAGACCTCCCAGCCTTCTGCATTTTTGAATATGTTTATTTTGCCAGACCAGACTCTATTTTCGAAGGTATGCATATTTATTATGGGTAACACACTTACTGATTACTCATTTCTTAAATGTATTAATGCTGAAATATCAATGTACTACAGGGCAGATGGTCTATACTGCCAGACAGCGATGTGGGCGGCAGTTGGCCATCGAGTCTCCGACTGATGCAGACGTTGTCAGCACTGTGCCAGAGTCTGCAACCCCTGCTGCTCTGGGCTACGCTGAGCAGGTCTGTCTACAGTGTGTCTGCTCCACCTCAGTAATCTTATAATATACCGGGTGGACTTACAGTCTCACTAGTTTTTCTTCTGTCTTCTTCTCACAGTCTGGTCTTCCATACATTGAGGTTCTGTGTAAAAACCGCTATGTTGGAAGAACTTTTATCCAGCCAAACACCCGCTTGAGGCAGCTAGGAGTGGCCAAGAAGTTTGGAGCACTGACGGACAACTTTGCTGGGAAACGAGTGGTGCTCATTGACGACTCCATCGTCAGAGGCAACACAATTTCCCCTATTATTAAGCTGCTGAAGGAAGCGGGTGCCAAAGAGGTTCGTTTAATAGTGTTTGGCAATAGTTGTTGATATAGCACACACAACATTTTGGCAGAGTGGCTCAGAAACTGGTTGGTTTGGATTGTCTGATAATTCAGACTGTAAGTAGCCTAGAAGCACAGGAAAGTAACATAAAACTGGAGTTTTTTTTTTTCTTTTAATGGCAGTAAGTGGAATAAGTGAGAAAAGCCCATGTGTTTGTCACATTGCGTACTATACTTACATCAGGGGTTCATAGAAAATATTAGGCTCATTAACTGTCAACTCAAAAAGTGGGCGTACCACAAGAGCAGTCTGAGACTGTATTTCCAATAAGACAGAAAATTCCCTCCGCACTATGCATGAATTAAAACCCCAAATCCAGGATATCTGGATCCAAATTTTGGGGGTATTTTCTTGAACATCCCAGTTATTATTTCATTGATACGTGTTTATTTTGGAATATCTAATCTTGTAATACTAAAGATAGGAAGTGATTAACTTTTGGATTTTTTTAAAAGTTGGGCCAAGCCCCACGTCTGGTAAACCATTTTTATGAAAATCGGTCACTAATCAGATTTATGGCATGAGTAACATACTCTCATTCATCATTTTTGGGCCTACTAGTCAATCTGATCTGAACCGTAAATCACATTTTAACCAAACATTCATACAGCACTTTATTGTCTCTTCTTCTATACACATCAAGCACTTGATGTGTATAGAAGAATAGATAAATGCTACATTTTTGCCACACTTAATAATCATTGTTACATGAATTAACGGAAGATACGTTTTGTTTTGTTATTTCTGACCATTTGAAGAACAAATATTGGTCCTGAAAAGGGCACCTAACTGTGTGTGACCAGAATATAGTCACACACTAACTTTGTGTTTATAGTAACCTAATTATTCTTCTGGACAGGTCCACATCAGAGTGGCTTCTCCACCAATCAGGTTCCCTTGCTACATGGGCATCAACATCCCAACCAAGGAGGAGCTCATTGCCAACAAGCCGGAGTTTCAGGACATTGCTGGTTATATTGGTATTTAAAAATGCACATCTACCATTCATTTCTTTGCCTGGTCAGAACAAAAGCTTGTGTTTAATGCTAACGCTGTTTACAGGTGCTGACAGTGTTAAATATCTGACTGTGGAGGGCCTCGTATCTGCTGTCCAGGAGGGTATTGCTTTCCATATTGAAAAGGACAAAATTAATTCCAATAACAAGTCCAACAGGAAAGCGGGCCACTGCACTGCCTGTCTGACTGGGAAATATCCAGTGGAGCTGGAGTGGTAACTGCTGCACCAACAGTAGCACTGTGGATGGTGCTGCAAACTTGAAATAAAAAAAAACAACCCTGTTCTACATATGATTTATCTCAACATTGCCAGCCGGAACACTAAGATGTTGCACAACTACAGAAGGTTACTTTATTCAGAACCTCAGGAAGCTAAAAGTGATGCTTTTTCTCACCTGTGGTGGCTAAGCTTTTTTCTTTTCCTGTTCCTGGATGTGACTAATTCCAGGTGTGTATTTCTTACCACACAAGTATGTTTTTGTTTTGCAGCTGCATTTATTTGAAAAGTAGATTTCCACATGTATTCAAAGCATTTACAATGCCAGACAAAGCGCACACGATAAATGACCAAAACATTAAATCATCTTTATTTCTGTTATTTACTTAAGACTGTTTTGTTTGGGTTTTGGGCTGTTTGCTCAAATTTGAACAATACAGGAATATGATGTATGAATAATAAACAATAACTACAATGACAAGTACTTTTTTTTTTTAAAATAACTACATTCTCCCATTGACAATTTTATTTCAAAAATGAATAGACAGAAAAAATGGACATCAAACATATATTCAAGAAATGATAGAACATATAAGAACAATTATAATCAATTAAAAATAGTTCAGAGAGATTAATTATCAGCAGGTTTCCATCGCAGAACTAGATGGTCATACATTTCATTAAATTTCATCGGCCCATCTCCTTGATGATCCCCTTCATCGCCATTTTCTGTATGTGATGGGAAAAGGTGAGTAAGAACACATCAACCCCCAGAGGCCAAAAATATCTTGTACATGGGAATTATTTTAGTCACCTGGGAGAGTAGCCACAGGTCATTTTGCTCTCTAGTGAACTTCCTGTTGAATAAAGCACAATGATTAGGTAATCAGAAACAAGTCAAGAAAACTATGAAGATCAGATGTGAAGGGACAGACAAACTTCACAGGTGCATTGTTGGTCATTTAGTAGCTGTCATTTTTGTGTGAGTTGTATGCTACAGTGACCTCTGTCTGCTCCACTCAGTATGTGAATGAATTCTGGCTTGTACGGCCCCTCATACAAACACACAGGCGTGCTCTCTCCCTCTCTCCCCAAGTGGAAATTCACTCAGACAAAATACACATCGATGGACTCTTTACATAGTTGTGATGATTAAACTTGCATAAAATAAGTCTGACTTGTAATTTCAAAACCCAAACTTTAAAGAAATATTGGGGGTTCTTACAAAGTAAGCTGACAATCAGTTTATATTTGTATCTTCTTTAGTTTGCTTGTGTTGTCTGGGTGAGTAGTTCCTTAGAAAGCTGCACCCTAGAAAAAACATGCACAATCATGCATGCATGCATCCAAATTCAGTGGGTGTGTCCTCATCAAAGTCCTCTTCCCAAAATACCTGCCTGCACCTGATATGTTTAGGAGGCATCTTAACTGCACTTTTGTAGCTATGCAAAAATACATAATTTGAGCACTATCACTTGACTTAAAAAAAAAAAAAGGATGAGGCTTACCCATGCCAGAAAAATCCGCTGCAGATTCAGCCTCCACATATTCCTCATGTGCTGGATACTGCTGGTTGCTGAACCTTTGAAACATGTTGTGCTTACTGGAGCTACAACCACGAGGCAGCTCCAGTTCAGACAAAGGGAGACCTTGCCTTAGCATCGCTCTGCTGTGGCGTTTGGACCCTGGGGAGTATGTGCAATACACTTCCCTGAAGCGTTTGGACTGTGGATGGCTGCTCCAGTCTAGGTCCCTGTGGCGTTTCCTCAGGACAGACCGGTGTGGTGACAGTGCAAGAGCAGCCAGAGCTGATGAAGAGTGACCTCTGCTGGCCTCAGAGCTTCTAGCACAGAGACGGCATGGAGGGCCATTGAAGAAAGTTGACTTGTTCTGACACACAAACTTGTGGTAAAGTTTCATGAAATCCTCATCAACTTGTTTTGGTGAGCACGAGCCAGGGGATGAAGGCAGGACGGAATCAATGGAGAGGTGTCGTACGAGCCTGCGATGACCCCCTGCTGCTGAGGCTGACTGCGGTGAGTGTGGCAGGAAGGACTGCTGGGAGTTTTGAGAGTAAAGCATCTTCAGTGGCAAAACAGGCCTTTTTGTCGGGGAAAACAGAGAGGCCGTGAGTGATCTGGGCCTCATAGGCTCTCTGGAAGTCACAGAATATTCACTGGGGCTTCTGGAAAACAAATGAGGTGATCTTCCCAGGCTGGTCACCACTCTTGCTTTTAGGGGACTCCTGTCCCTAAAGCTCGGCGCCTCCTGCCTAACTGGGGAGCCATAGATATCAGGTCTCTGTATTGCAGCAGTGAATTCTGGTGCAAGGATGGAGCTCCCAGCTGTCTCTAATAGAGAAAGACTTGATCTTTCCTCAGAGGCTTTAGCACAAGGTCGTGAAGGACTGACGCTATAGGCAGAGGCCTGGTCTTCCAGCTGGGTTTGTTTACGAGGGGACAGCTGAGACACAGTGAAAGTCTTGTTTAATGGTATCTCTTTTGGTTTAAAGGACACAGAGGAAGCAGAGAAGTCCATTACAAGGACAGGCTTATGCTGGTGCCTGCTCATAAGGTTTTCCTCCCTATCAGGAGATTGGTGCATTTCGTGCCAGTCTCTAGGACAGGTCACAGTCTGCATAGGCGTTGTTTTGGTCCTCGTGAATTGCTCTTTCATAGGCCTGCTGGAGCTTTTCTCTGGAAATGCTTTTGTGGTCATCTTTGGTTTGCTGTTTGTGTGTCTAAGTGGGACGACAAAGGTGTTGTTGAGGTTACTTCTGTTTGATTGCTGACGCCATCTGCGGTACCTCCTCAGCACAGAATCAGCGGCTGTAGAGACATGCTGCCGATCCCAGGCCCTCTTTATCCGACTAATCATACTTGGATAGAGCTCCACCCAGGAACTGCCATGACTTCTAAGAGACATTTCCAGCTCCTCATCTTGGTCTTCAGGTTGAAGGTCCACATTGGAAAAGTTTCTCTGACTCTCATCCAGTGAGCTCACAGTCAGCTGAGTCACATCACTTCTAGTCATCCCTGTGTGATGCACAAGGGGAAACAAAATTGGGAATTAGACAAATAATATACTCAGTGCTTCTCTTGGATGAACAATCTTTATATATACACTAGTGGACAACCCTCTGTTTTATTTGGAAAGTTCACACACTACCAGCTTCCAGCTGCCTCACGGGCCAGGTTACCTAACTGGGGTAACCGGATGTACTCCAAATCTTCTATCTTGGACTGCAGTTGGCGATAGTGGTGTTTCTTTTGCTCCGAGGGTTCACTGTGAGCTGGAGACCCACTCTAATTAACCCTCGCCAAAGCTAAGAGCAGAACAAGGATTACCTTTGCCAGCTGCTGTTCAAGGTGTTGGAGTCTAACACTTAAAACTACCACAATGGTCAACTATTCATTTATCACAAAGTACAGGGAAATCAAAATGTTTGTGGAGGCAAAACTTATTAAATATATTATTTAATAATTAAAGAGAGCATGTATGTGTAATTTAAGAAAGCAATCACGCATTTCTGTTGTGCATTTCTTTGTTGTCACAAATTTAATCCAAGACTGGAAAACACTGAAACAAAAGGATTTCCTTTTTCTTACCACCATCTTCCATAGACAGCTGGATGCTGGTATCAGATGACAAGTCCAGCTGTCAAAAATAAACCGTCATTAACTCAAGTTATGCCAGATATTTTGATACAGAAGGTAATTACAGGTATATTTACCTGAGAGCCTCCTGTGGGGTCCTGTGCTGTGTAAGAAATGTTCAAGTTGTATTAGATGAACTACACAGTGAAGCAAAGAAAAAGATGCATGTTGTCATTTAAACTCTTAATTCTGAGAAATTACCTCTTAGTGACTCCTCTCTGACATCTGTCGAGCTCTGAGGAGAAAATGTGGGTGATTAAATAGTAGTAAACGCAGCTTATGGTATTTTGTGTCGTGCATGGCTGCAAAGGTCGTTGTTAGTAACCCAAACCTTCAGTTGCAGTGAGATCACCTTCTTTTTAGATAACGTCATGTAGCTGTCAAGCTCTTGAGGACAGAAAATATACACAATGTGGTCAGACAACAAAAAAAAGTGAACATTACAGATCGTCAAATATTAAGCAGTGTTTCAGGTATCAGGCCTTCACCCATTGGACACACAAATACCTATAATTGAAATCTGGTGAAGAAGATAACAGCTGGAGGACGTAACATTTTCTTCCATTAAATACAATCAAAATCACAAATCATGCAAATTGCATCAACCACTAATATTCTAATTGGAGCTGACAGAAACAGTAAAATGTATCATGTGACATGGCCTTAATGTCTGAATGACATTAAAGGAAAGCTCTGCAGTTTTGCTTCTTTCAAATTATATCCAAACCTTTAATCCAAAATTAAAACAACACTCAAAATTAGATCTGGGAAAACAAATCATCCAGGTTTATGTTTTTTCTGGGATAGACCACCTCAAATCTCTTACTGCTGGTAAAAATCTCACCTTCAACTCATTAAAAATGCAGCAGCAAGACTTAGCACATAGCATTGCATTACCCCCGTTCCTGGCTCCTCTCTACTGGTTCCCAGTACATTTGATTTTAAGGTTTTACTGATCACTTTTAAGATATGTTTTGATCTCGTCTCCAAGATACTTTGCAGAAATATTATCTTGTTTGTTCTTCTTTTTTCAGCTGCTCTCTTTAGGGATTATCTTTAGCAGATTATCTACCTTCATCTCAGCCAATCTTTCTGCTCTATCACATCAACCCTCTGCATGTCCTCCTTCAACACATCCTCTGTCCAGTATATCCACTATACTTCCTCTGCTCAAACCATCTCAGCCTTGCCTCTTTAGATAATGTCCAAACCACTAAACCAGAGCTGTCCCTCTGATGTTCTCATTTCAAATCATGTTCATCCAGGTGACTCCCAATGACAATCTTAACATCTTCAAATCGGCCACCTCCAGCTGTGCTTCCCGTCTTTTTGTCAGTGTCACCACCTCTAAAGTACACATTGCAAAACTCACGCACCCCAAGATATTTAAACTCATCTACCTTCCTTAACTCTACTCGTTGCATCTTCATCCACACACATTTTATCTTGCTTCTGACTTTTAATCCTGTCCTCTCCAGAGCATACCTCCACATTTCCAAGCTACTATTATCTCACTTTATTGTCCTCTCATCTCAATGTTTGTTTTCCGTTTTTCACTGTTTCTGAATTTAGCATTTTGCTTTTGCTTGTCTGTCAAACTGCTTTGCAAACTCAAAACACTTTTCAAAGATTTATAATTAAAGTCTATTGTTTTTATTGTAATAAAAGGCCCTTCAGGCGACTATTGCTGTGAATTAATATATAAATAATACTGAACTTCATTATTCCAGAAAGAAAACAAGTCCTGTGATTGATCTAGCTTACAAACGCATCTAATTAGTTAGTTTTCGGTTACCTTTACTAACACAGACGATGTTATTAAAACCTTTCCGGCTCACTTACTTGTGGGGCTTATATCGTCGAGATCAACCTCTGTCCCCGCGTCCTGGTACTGAAGTTTTGAATACTATCAGAAGGAAACACAGGTTGGTTAATTCTGTTGCTTTCATTTGCAAAACTCGCTGATAGTTACGTTCATGCTAACCGTCCATAGCCTTATTCACACACCTTGTCTATGATTCGATCCAGGGAAAGTTTGAACTTTGAATTGTTATTTTGCAATTGTGTCTTTACAAGCTCATCCATGTTTGCATATAAAATTATTTTTTATCAAAAAGACGACAAAGAAAGAGAACAGCTAAACGAAGAAGAAAAATGGCGCTTTCGATTTTAAAGATTCTACGTCACAAAATAGTGGAATGTGATTGGACAGTGGACATATGGTGCCTTCCTTGATACTAGGAAATTGCGGTTGTATCTTTATTGCGTTTAATTTGAAAGACAAAATTAAAATAGAAAACTCCGGGATGTTAGCAGTGATAACACGTAGCGGTTATTGTTCATATGAAAATGACTGCAAGTATTAATAATATTTTGTAAGCAAAATTTTAAAACGACATTTAAGGACAAATTGTTGTTATGGCCGAGCTTTGGGACGAGCATTTGAAATAACCGTTCATTGCTTAGTGTAAAATCCGCGTCATCAACCCTCGACAAATGTGCTTGTAAACAAATCCAGCTTCTTCTGAAATTAGCAACACTTGAATGTTTAAAAATTTTCGGGTTTTGCCAGAATGTACACCGACAGAAGATGAGCATTTGGTCACTAAAGGGCTTCTCAACATGTCTGCTCGGACGCTGCAGGAGCTGGTCGCCGCCGCTGCCTCCCTGCACGCCGACAGGCTGGCTGTGACACACTCGGTGTCCGGAAAACCATCGGCGTCCCTCACCTACAGAGACCTGGTTCAACTCGCCGATGAATTCTCTCGTGCTTTGCAAAATAACTGTTCTCCTAGGAGCAGGGTGATCGGGCTTTACTGCAGAGATGATTTGTTTGTACCTGTCTGGATTTTGGGGTGAGTGCAAACATTAGAGATCGACCTCTGTAATTTATTTATGGGCGATATTAGTTATTAGAATCAAGGAGACGGAAATTGAGGCAAAAAAAAAAAAAAAAAAAAAACACAAAAAGGAAAGTTGTCATTCCAAGCTACGATAATTTATATCAAAATATATACAGTGAATTCTTATTTATGTGACAGGTACAATGCATGTTAATAAAAGAGAGTACACAGAAGATTCAAGGATGTAGTAGAGTAGAATTTGCAGGTGACAAGATAAGATAACCTTTAGTTGTCCCACATGTGGAAAGTTTGTTTTGTTACAGCAGAAAGTGGACAGTGCAAAGTTACATAGCAAAACTTAGAAAACACTGGAATAGAATAAGATAAGATACTGTACACAATAGAATAGAATAAAATTAAAAATAAAGAATAAAATAAAACAAATGCTATATGCAACTGAGTATAATACAACGATGTCAGAAAAGAGTATTGCACTTAGTTTTATTGCTATTGCACATGCGTGTGTTTGGTCAGTTGGAAGTCTTTGTTGTGGTGTCTGACAGCAGTGGGGAGGAAAGACCTGCAAATCTCTCCGTCCCACATCGTGGGTGCCGCATCCTGCCACTGAAGGAGTTGCTCAGTGCTGTCAGAGTCTGCATGGGGTGGGAGATGTTGTCCAGCAGGGATGACAGCTTAGCCACCATTCTCCTATCATTCACCACCTCCACTGGGTCCAGAGGGCATCCTAGAACAGAGCTGAAGAGCTGTCATATTCAGAACTTCTCATTATTTTAATATTTGTCAGTGCCTATGTGCTTCTTGTGTGTTATGGCTGCATGTGCCTCACTGCTCTATAACAAATCATAACTCACAAATGACTCTGCTTTGTTTGTCAGGATCTTGCGATCCTCTGCTGCTTACGTCCCACTGGACCCAGAATCTCCTGGACTCCTCTCTGCCAGAGTCATGAACCAATGTGGCCTCAAGTACTGTGCTGTACAGACCGACCTCTTGCAGGTTGAATTTTGTCATATTTTATCAGCATTAATACAACAGCTGTGAGTAATTTTGCAAATGTAATACTCAGGCCTCACTTAACCCTCTCAGGCAGTGGTACTTCTGAGTAAAAAAAACTCATAAAATATGTATGTGGGATAATCAGGTTGTTAGTTTTTAACTGTTGCAAATCTGCAACGCCTGCCTTGAGAGGGTTAAAAGGTTCAACCATCCAGACGATGAAAACACACGAGAAAGGCCATGGTCTTATTTATTTATTAAGGCCAACCCCCACCTTTGTCTTTCCAGATTTAGTACATAAAAATACACACAGCCATGGAGACATCCTGAGAAAGAACCCCACCCCAAAAGACATGGAAATATAAAATAATGATAAAATTAGATATTCACAAAACTGACACTGACCTATTACAACAAGGGCTCCACAGTGGGACTTTGATTCTGTCTGAATCTGTCCATCTAGTATAACAATCTGTGCAATAGCCAACCCAAGATTCTAATTACCGGTAATTAATCCAGCTATGTAACCTGAGAACCTCTTACTAGCCAGGTGACTGTGGATTTTGGGGTGTTTGGGTTGAATTTTTCTTTACAAAACCCAATTCAAGATCCCCTCCTGTGCAGTAACAAAAAATATTCCAAGTGTATGTTTCCTACAGATGACTCGTCTGTAATATTAAGAGTTGTTTTTTTATTGCAATATCAGAACACCTTTGTAAATTCTTTGTTAATGAATTATGTTTTTTTGTGAATATTTATATTGCTATTGTTTTTTTTCAACTTAAAGCAATTTCAGGCAGCTCTCATCAAACTCGTAACTGTGGAAGTTTGTGTGGAGCTGCTCAAGTTCAAACTGACTCTGATTCACATCGAGCCGCTGCGAGTCGCCCAGCGTGAACGAGGAGCAGGACAAACTTCATCAGTAAATGATCTCAGCGGTTCAGCTGTGGAGCAAGACGACGCTGGGCGCAGGGAGTTGGCGTATGTGCTGCACACATCGGGAACAACAGGCTTTCCAAAGACTGTGAGGGTACCACACAGGTGTATACTTCCCAACATACTGCATCTGAGGTCAGTAAGGAATCATTTATGCCTTTGCCTGTTGTAGAGTGGCATTTTCAGTCCAAGACAAATCCCTTCTCTTTCTGCTCAGATCTTTGTTTCAGATGAGGCCGGATGATGTGGTTTTCCTCGCCTCACCTTTAACCTTTGATCCCTCAGTAGTGGATATTTTTCTCGCCTTATCATCTGGGGCTCAACTCCTCATTGTCCCTAATGTGATTAAGAAAATGCCCAAACGACTAGCTGAACTGTTGTTCAACGATCACAAGACAACTGTCCTCCAGGCAAGTGTAGAGCCAGTTGTGTTTGTGAGGCAGTATTCCTTGTTTGTGCAATGCTTCATTTTCACTGTTGTCACAGGTCACGCCCACTCTGCTGTTGCGCTTCGGCCATCGTATTCTAAAACAGGACGTGCTGTCGTGCGGCTCTTCACTGCGAGTGTTGGCTCTGGGTGGAGAAGCCTGCCCGTCGCCCGCTCTGCTGGAAAGCTGGAGACATGAGGACAATAAAACCAAAATCTACAACATCTACGGGATCACTGAGGTTTCCTGCTGGGCCAGCTGTTACAGAATACCAGAGTCTCTGCTGCGGTCAAGTAACCTGTGAGTGTACCCCCGTTTTAAAATGTTCATGACTTCTACAAGTTTGTCCTACAGATGTAGGAGTTATCTAACATTACAAACATCTCACAGCACGGTGTCTTCTGTGCCTCTCGGGACTCCTCTGATGGGCACAGTGGTGGAAGTCAGAGATGAACATGGCTGTGTTGTTTCAGAGGGTGAAGGACAGATCTTCATAGGTAGGAAAAACACTGTGAGTTCTCTGCAAATTAATCACATTGAGATGAAGAAAAACCTCATGAATTCATATGATCGTTTGTGCAGGTGGAGAGGACCGAGTGTGTCTCTTGGATGATGAAGACACTGTTGTCCCTGGGACGATGAGGGCTACAGGAGACTGGGTGAATGTTAAAGATGGACAGCTGCACTACCTGGGACGGAGAGACCGACTGATCAAACGCAATGGAAAACGAGTGAACTTAGACAGCCTGCAGCAAGTAAGATGTTTTCTGATGTATGTAATTATAAGTCATGTGATTGATTCAAAAAAGAAATAATTCCACTGGCTTAGCCTCATGTTAGACCAAGACTGACACATGAAGGAACACACATCACTCGTGCTTTTAACATCCAACAACTTTTACGTCTTATCCAGGTCACAGTGTCAGCAGAGAAGCCCAGACCTTGGTTTCTGAGGGATGAGCTTGACCACCTCCCCAAAATACCCTCCCCAAGCTCAGTCAGAGTTGTAGCAACGTGTTTCCGAGCTAGCCAAGAAATATAATCTCTCTGCCTGGCCTGGGTCTGCTCCAGGGCCTGTTCCTGTTAGAACATGCCTGGAATACCTCAACTGGGAGGCGCCTTAGTCAGTTTCTCGAGCCACTTCAACTGGATCTTTTTTTTAACATACTGAAGGCAAAGCTGATGTACTGATTGTGGTAAATTAAAGGAAATATTTGAATCCTTAACCCCCACCCTAAAGAAATCTGGTGCCTCTGTTATGAACCAGTTTCCTCACTCAGATTCACGGTTACTAAAAATAATGAAAGACTATTTTTTCAATTTATTGTCACATACACACAGCAATAAGAAAAAAAGAGAAAACAAGAGAAAAGCAGTTTTAGCTGATTAATAATTGCGTTTTTAAACTGGTGGCACCTTTTCTTAATGCTGTACTTTAATGTTGATACTTTTCATTAATTCTTTGTAAACAAAATACCTTTTCAACATCTTTTTGATTTTGATTTTGATTTACATCTCCCCTCCTGCAGGTCTTGCTGAGTCTTCCTCAGGTGGAAGCCTGCGCTGTGGGTCTGCACCAAGGATTTCGACTTCTCGCCTTTGTCGTGGCATCCACATCTGGACACCAGAAGGCAGCTTCCACCTCCGCATCTGTACAGCAACGTGCAGAACAAATTCCCTCTGCTTGTGCTTTTGGTGAGCATGCTGAGAACCTACCCTCTTCTGTCAACCCCCCCCTGGAGGAGTCAGGCGGTGCAGACGGAGATCTGAAGAAGCTCATTCTGAGCCAGTTGTCTCTGCTGCTGCCTGCTCACAGCGTACCTGACACGCTGGTGCTCGTCCCGGCTTTATGCCTGACTGCTCACGGTGAGCTTTAGACACGCTGTCACTGCTGAGGAGAAACAGCAGCTAATTCATTCACCACTTTATCCATTCACCTTTCTAACTGTTGTTTTTTTGATAGGCAAAGTCAACATGGAGGCATTAGTCAGAGTTTATGAAAAACAGAGACAGTGTTTAGAGTCTTCACAGAGAAATCGCAGTGAACTGAGGCAAATTCTTCAGACTCTGTGGCGGGTATTTTCATTTTTGATGACAACATTCATGCTCTAAATTTAAATAAACCGTTGTCTCCTTATGTTCATTCTCTTTTAAACTATCTATCAACAGGATACTTTAAATCTTGCTGTAGATGTTACCGTTGACGAGAAGTCCAAGTTCCTGTTCAGTGGAGGAGATTCTCTGAAGGCTCTGCATCTCTGTGAAGACATCCTCACTGCTGTGGGAGTGACCTCACCAGAGCTCCTGGAGGTTATACTTGATGGGACCTTCTCTGACATCGTGAATCATGTTGCCAGAGCAAGAGGAATCTTGGAGCATGAGAACAGCCAGTCAACGCCGTCTCAGGCCAAGAGACGGCACGTCGAATCCACGTCTCAGGTACTAGAAAAGAGAGCGCGCAAAGACTGGACAGCAGCTGAGAGTCTGCAGGTGGAGAAACAGGCTGTGAAAGTCATAAGAAGAGGGGGCGAGGTGATAGAGATGAACATCAGATATACAGAAGATGATAAAACAGTGCAGAATCAACTTCTTGGAGAAAGGGAGTCTTGTGGAGAAGCTGATTTGGGCCTCAGTCTGAGCTGGTCCTCAGACACAGGCAGATGTGTGGACGCCTCCCCGGTGCTTCTAGTACAAAACAGAGCTGATCACAGGTCAGATTTGTTCAAAGCAACAGTGTTTATCGGCTCACACTCCCACAGGATCCAGGCATTAGACATCGCCACCGGAAACCTAATGTGGGAGCGAGTTCTTGGAGACAGAATCGAGGCCTCTGCTGCCGTGTCTCACTGTGGCGCCCTTGTTGTAATAGGTAAGTGTCAGCTTTGTGAATACCTAATGTTCAGGAGGTTTTATTACTTTATATTTCTATATCTTTTTTTGGGGGGGGGGTTCTTTCTCAGGATGTTATGACGGCTGTGTGTATTTTTTATGCACTGAAACTGGAAAGACACAGTGGGTGTTTGAGACGGGAGATGCTGTGAAGAGCTGTCCTGCTGTGGATCCTCTCACTGGTCTGGTGGTAGTGGGCTCACACGATGGGTACGTTTACGCCCTAAACTCAGAGGTGAGTGCTCGATGCAAAGCGACACAAGGACTCGAATGATTCAGAAAAGTCACAGATTGATGGTTGCACTGGATACCTGTCTCACGTGTTTGAAGCAGACACTCTATTTTCTGTTTTCAGGTTCAGAAGTGTGTTTGGAAGTGTCACTGTGGTGGAGGAGCTGTGTTTTCTTCTCCACGTCTTCACGCGTCACGCCGTCAAGTGTACGCGGCTTCACTGGGAGGACGCCTGCTCTGTCTCAGCATCGTAAGTGAAGGTCGTTTTGCCATTTGGTGCACAAGTGGAAATAAGAAAGGAAGAGGCACGAGTCTGTTTGAATCACAAATTTTTGTAAAAATATTTCTATGATGACTTTGAGGGTGTTAGTTTAACGTTTAAAATGAGAAAGCTCTTCATCTTTCAGCTGTTCCCTTTAGGAGTCGCCACAGCAGATCATCTGTCTCCATCTCACACTATCGCTAGCGTCCTCCTCTGTCACGTCAACCCTCTGCATGTCCATTTTCACTACATTCATGAACTTTCTCTGTAGCCTTCCTCTTTCCCTTATGTGCACATTTGTCTCAAAAGAGAAATTTGCTACTGACTATAAAATAGAAATGGACCGATCCGATATTACGTATCGGTATCGGTCCGATACTGACCTAAATTACTGGATCGGATATCGGAGAAAAATAAAAAATGTAATCCGATCCATTAAATATCACGAAAGCACCTCACAAAACTTGCAACACGCCGTAACTCACCTCAGAACGTTAGCACGTCGGAGCAGTATGCATCACGTGATAGAGCGGCTGTGGCATGCGGGACCTGTCGGTGGTCTGGATAGCATTTGGAGCTTCGCTAGCAACCCGGCATTTCATCTCCGACAAAGTTATCCCCGAGAGAAGTAAAGCAAGTGTGTAAGTCCATCTCTGAATGTTTGTAAAGCATTCCTGCGTTAAGCTTAACAAGCGACTGCCTCTCTGCTGCTACTTCAATCATGAAACTGCTTAACGATCAGCTGATCGGCTTTTCTGTCGCGAGTCCGTGTCTCTAGTTTGCTTTTGGCCCACTTTGCACCAGAAAGAGGAAACCAGCGGCTGAACAACAGCAGCACGTTTAAGCTTGATAAGCTGTTGTTAGAATTTATTTAATATTACTTTCTACATCCAGGATCTTTTTCTACGAGCTGGCTGGTAACTGTGCAGGGGCGGATCTAGCAAAGTTTAGCCAGGGGGGCCGATAGGGCATTGAACAGGGAAAAGGGGGCACAAAGACATACTTTTCTTTCTTATTCTCATTTAAAATGTCTGAGCTTTTAATAAATAATTATCTGACACCCAAAGTTTTAATTTGATGTAAAATGAATAGAAGTCAATTACTGTATATAGTGACTATTAAGTCTAATATATATACCCTAGTAAGCTATAGTACTTTTTCCTTTGGGAAGGTACCATCTGTGCAGTCTGCAATTTTGTTGAAGAAAGATGTTGAATCTATTTAATATTTCTTGAAAAATAATTGATTTCTGTGCATTTTTTTTCACACTGCATCAAATTAAGGTTGATTACGTCGATTAAGCATCATGAGGTGGAGGTGAGGGGTGGTTCCCTATTTTTTATTTATTTATTTTTGTTGTTGCTGGGAGTTGGAACCCTATTAGTTAGGTTGCTTAATATTTAGCTAAGTACTCTTTAAAATACCAGAATAGGGAGGATGGTGTAGGTTTAAGTTTATTAGATTGATCAGTATTGCTGAACTATGAAATATTTTTTTTTGCATACAGGTATAACAGAATAGCTTTAGTGTAGTTGTTGTTTTAAACTTGAGTATGAACTTATACAAAATGCAGCAAGATATTTAAAAAACAGTTTTGTTGATTAAAAAACACTATCGGATTCATATCGGTATCGGCAGATATCCAAATTTATGATATCGGTATCGGTATCGGACATAAAAAAGTGGTATCGTGCCATCTCTACTATAAAACATTAAAAAAGGAGAATAATAAGAGTGATGGCCCTATATATCTCACGTGTGTTTCTCTTTCCCAGGACAGTGGAGATGTCTTGTGGTCTTACTGCAGAGACACTCCTTTCTTCTCCTCACCAAACTGCTTCTCTGAGCACATTGTGATCGGCTCAGTTGATGGACACATCTGCTGCTTCAGCAACACAGGGAAACTTGTAAGGAGCTCACTTTTTGTTATAATATTTTCCAGTTACTATATATATAAAACCTGATTTGCTGAAGATTTGAGTGATTTCGGGGGTTTTGGGGTTTTTTGTTTTTGTTTTTTTGTTTTTACATTAAAGTCACAACCATTCATTACGACAACATTCAAATGTACTCGTATGGTGAAAAGGGGGGAAGGGGCCTGGCTATTTTCTGAATCCTCTGTGTAATTCATAACTGTATGACCCTTGTGTTTATTTGCAGCTGTGGCAGTTTCTAACAAAGGGTCCAGTTTTCTCCTCTCCATGCATCACGTCAGACCAGCAGAGACTTCTGTGTGGATCACATGACTGTTGCCTGTACTGTTTGAATTGTGCAGATGGCTCTTTGGTTTGGACTTTTCAGACGACAGGCAAGGTGTACTCCACCCCATTTGTGTTTGACGGCTCAGCTGTGGGGAGAAGGGGTTCACTGGTGGGCCTGGCCTCCACTGACGGCACAGTCTGGATCCTGGATGGAAAAGACGGACGGATGTTGGCCTCGCATACCTTTCCCGGGGAGCTGTTTTCATCCCCGGTGGTGTGGGAAAGGTCACTCCTAGTCGGATGTCGTAATGACTATGTGTATTGTCTGAGGCTGAGTGTAAAAGAGGAAACGTAGAAGGATATATTTTATTTTTGTACCTTTTTTTTTTTAAAAAAACAATAAACACAACTTGTTTGTCAGTGAAGTGAGGTGTTTTGGGAAATGGGATTTTTAAGTCAATTCTACTTGTTTTCTGAGATCCATATGTCTTGTTACACATTACAAGCTTAGTTGAGGCATTTTTTTAGAACTCATCAATCTTTATAATTTCAAAGGGAGTCCACATCCCTGATGTGACCATCTCAGGCATGCACTCTGCCCCACCCACTTTCCGTTTAAACCAGGGTGGTGTTGGGGCCCGCCAAAACACACAGAGCTGTAAATGGAAACAGCTGTGCTGATTACTGCACGTCGCAGGTCACTGGGTTACACTTACACTGGGACAAATCTAGTGAACATACACTATATTGCCAAAAGTATTTGCTCATCTGCCTTCACATGCATATAAATGTTGGAGGAGAAGCCCTAGCTCACAGTGTCCACTCTGATTCATCCCAAAGATGTTCTGTTGGGTGGAGGTCAGGCCTCTGTGCACCATGCTTTATGCACCTGTAGCCATGGAAGTAATCGAAACACCCGAATTCAGTGGTTTGGATGGGTGATTGAATACTTTTGATGATATAGTTTACCAAAAGTATATCAAAACCATTTTTAGATTATGTCCCAATTAGAATAATGTAAAACAGAGAAGGAAGCGAGCTAAAACAGCTTGTTTCATTCAAATATGAACTCAAGGGCTGCACCGAGACTTAGCAGTAAGGTAAACGGATTAATTTGAATTGTGAATTATGTAAAGCCACTTCAAGAATAGAAATATGGAGTTTGTAATGAGCATAGTACTTTCCCCTTCGTGATTTTGAACAGTATGAGACGGCAGTTCTGTGGTTCAGACATCAGTATTTAATTTACATTATTCATAACATTTTGTATCTTTTTTTTCATATCGGTAAGTGGGACAAAAAAGTGCAAATAATACCAAACATTTTTTGTTACATACAACACTGCGTACACTACACTATTGTGCACGTCCAAAGTTAGAAACAAAATGACTGTGAGTCCACCTCTTTTAGGGCCCTCTTTTTGACCGAACCTCTGGCAATGCCTTTCACTTACATACAGTACATACTTACATGGATACAGATCATTAAGTGAGTGGCAGGAAATAAGAATCAAGTTTTTTTTTTCTTCATAGAGGAAATGTTTACATTATGTAGGATCATATCACATTTAAGAGAAAGTGATGGCGCAAGCCTACTAAGACGAGCGTGTTACAGGAGGACAGCTATAAGAGTCGTAGGTCTACAGCTAGGAGGTGTCACATCTGTCTCCAATAAGCAAAGCCTAAAAATAAAAAATCCAAATTACATCGTCACACAGCTGTGAGGATGAGGTGCAGGTTCACCATAAATGCCCAGTAACACTTGTGGTCTTCAGTGCTGTGTTTAGGTGCACCCACCATGTTTCTTTTCTTTCTTTTTTTTTTAAATCATGGCAAAATTGTACAATAGCTCCTTGGACAGCTATCACAGTCGTCACGGGCACAGTGAGAATTGTTAAGCTAAGATTTTCCAGTATGTGTTGATAAAAAAAAGGCATCTCTTGTAGATGAAAAACAAGGCTCAGAGAAAAGACACAGGAGAGGGAGAGCTGCTGCTTTACATAAATAACGCCAAGAAGGACAGAGGGGATGCCTGTAACACTTCCAGAAGCAGGTTCGTGCTGAGTTTAAACTGGTAGCCCTTAAAACATGATTCAGACAGTTACCCTCTGTTGATTAAACACTGTCATAGATCAGAGCTTCACCTCTATAATAAAGAAGTGTTATATTGTGTTGAGCAAATGATTTATTTACAACCATGGTGACACAGTTGGCTACACAATTAAAAAAAAAAAGAAGAAAAAGGTTGGCTATTGCAGTGGCCAACCATGGTTGCGATTGGCTGCAGGAGTTTAAGAGACATATAATTTATGTTTTTATACAGTATGTGCATGCTCGCATCAATTGTTTATATCTGTGCGGCTGTATCGGATTAAGTGAATGTGAAGCGCACTTTAACATGATAATAGTACCAGCCAGTGTATGTGGGGGGGTTAGGAGGAGATGGAGAGCTTTACTGGTTTCACAGTCGGGAAGAGTTTTCATTGTGAGAAGTGAGAGGTGGAGTTCTCAGAGGGGGGGGACAGTTAATGGTGACACTCCAAGTGTTTCAGAGTCTGTGGGCAGTGTACACTCTTGATGCAGGCCGGAGTGTCGTGTGTAGCTGGTGGTTTGAGGTGTTATTTGATGATCTGAGGACAGTCGCTCCAGGCTTTGGCCTTTCGTTTGGCCAGAGCAAGCCAGGCCGGCTCTGTGGAAACCTGCGGAGAGTCACTGGAGGGGAAGCGCTTTGACACCTCTTTGACAGCAGGTGGCGACGGTGTAGAGTCTGCAATCTCAACTGCAACAACAAACATGTAAAAATGTGTTACTAATCTGTTTGCTTTCTATATCCCATTATTAAACTCATTTTAAAAAACAGATTAATTTTGAAGAAGAGCTTCTGGAAATAAAGAAATTTGCCTGACTAATAACAGCAACTGTAATCAGAATAACCAGAAATTGTAGAAAAAGAGCTCATCCTGTTGTTTGTGACGCTAATAGCTACTTAGTATATTCACTTTAGTACGATATATGACAATTTTACCAGTGACAGAGCTCGGTAGAGTGTTGGCCTTCTTTAGGTGCTCCCGGCGTTCAAATTTTCCCAGGAGGCTCTCTGGTCTCTTGGGCTCCTCTGGCGTCTGAGGTTTAGAAGAAGGACTGGTGCTTCCACTTCCTTTGCTGTCTGTGGGGCTCACCAGTGTAACCTGCAAAAGAGATTTGGGATCCATTCAGAAGATGGACAGTATGTTACGGAGATCACGAGAAAGTGTGTAAACGTTTATCTGTGGGGCATACACTGTCTCGCTCTTTAGCTTGTTTTTCTGCCAGCTTGGCCTCTCTTTGGCTACGACGCTCCTCCCGGTTCTGCTGCTGCTCCCTGAAGCCTTTCTGCTTCTGAAGAGCCAGTGTGATCCACAAAGGTCCAGCCTCCTTCTCCTGGACCCTCGCACTGTCCAGTGAGTGCCTGCTCTGTAGGGATGGTTTTTCTGCAGATGAACACACGATAGATGTTGTTGGAAACCTTTGATACTACAAAACACTATTTTTAATTTAACAAAACATTCATCTCAAAATCATATTCCAAATTTTTCCACAGGACCTTTTTTCTTTCTGTCCAACAATGCGTGTAGGTTAGTAGAAAGAAAATAGCCATTTACATAAAAACTATTCACATAATTGCTTGCGGATTTATCATTTAGTCCCAGTATATTCACGGGAAGGCAGACATCTCTACTGCCAATATCACCAACTCATGCCAAAACAATCTAGATGGATAAATGGTAATTTGATTTAGGTATGGAACATCCCTTTAAGCAGTAAATGTTGCCAAGATATTGGCAAATCAAATGGATTTGCATTATGTAGATGAGAAGATTGTTGCTTATGTCTCTTTACTTAAATAGGAAGCTACGGTCTGGAGATGCTTGGGGATGAAGCAGCTTACACAGTTTTGTCTAAAAGTATCAAGATAAGCTTACAGGTTCATCTAAAGCTCGTTATTTCATGTGATAATTTCAGCTAACTAACAAAGATGCTGACCTTTCCTGATGAGTTCTGTCTTTCTGTCTGCCTTTTCCCTCCAGGGTATGTTAATGGAGGGGAAGAATGACCTCTTCTCCTTGGGCTCTTCTTCCCCTTGGACATGACTTTGGCTGCTCTTGTGCAGCAGGGATGAAGGTTCCTCACTCCTTCCGGCTTGCTCCTGGATGGATGAATCCACACCCATTGTACTCTCCACTGAATCATCACTGGGAGACTCATGAGCTACCTTAGGTAGTGGTGATGGGGGAGGTGTTGGGGCTGCACCTGTAGGCTTAGGTGATGTCACTGGTCTGCGGTAGAGCGGTGGCTTGGAAAACAATTTCTCACCCTCACTGTGTGGAGTCGGGCTGGTAGACTTAGTCAGTTTACCCCGGGGGAACGCAGGAGAGGCAGATGCATGTAAATACTTGCTGACCGCGCCTTCTTTCTGAGGTGACGTGGGGCTTGATTTGTCAGAAAAGACAGAAGAGGCATCAGAGTCTGGCTCAATGGGGGTAAGAGGCGAGGGGACACCATCAAAGCTGTCCCCAGCACTGTAGCGTTTCTTCTTTTTCTCTGTGGACTGCTCGCTGTGAAAACGCAGAGAGTAGTTGGTCCTCCTCAGCTTTATGCCAAAAGGAGAAGGCTTCTCCTCACTGTCCTGGCCCTGCTCCTCTCCCTCCACTCTGCTTTCAGATGTCTCTGTTTCACTCTGAACCCTGCTCTTCGACTCTGCCTCTTCAGATTGAATATCAGAACTGGGAACCAGGAAAGAAGGAAGGTCTTTGGCAAACATACACTCATCTGACCCTCTTTCTATGATGCGGACACTTTTACTTGTCCTGTTCTGAGGTTTACTTGATGGAGAAGGAGAGGCTACAGTGGGGCTTCCAGGTGGAGCAACCTCCTCTCCTGCTTCCTTATCTTCTGCACCAAACACCTCAGAGTTCCTATTTGAATCTCCAAACTTCTTCCTTGCAGGGGTGATGGAGAACTTGGCGCTAGCAGACATGGTCTTCCTGAGGTTCGTGTGGGCAAACAGAGGCTGTTCTTCAGCGCTGGACTGAGACTGGCTCCTGCTCGGCTCTGGGTACTCGTCGTACTTCCCCTCTTCTACCCCCTTGAATATCTTTGATCTGATGCTTGCCCATTCTGCCAGGACAGCTGCACTGGACTGATCGGTAGAGAGCGCAGACTCATTGAGTGATTTGGTTTTTCCAGACTTGCGTTCTGGGGAAGTCTTGCTCTTTGTTGGCGGTGTTCCTTGGGCCTTTCTATCCTCTCCCAAACCCAGCAGGGACTTGCAGGCGGTGTCTTTGATCTGGTCTAAATTGACAGCTGTCCCACATAGCTGGGCGCCTGTCACTAGGATAGCTGTATGGGGGACATATGGAGATGCTGGCAGGTTGGGGGAGTCTGGTCCTTCAGAGGAGGAAGCCTTTGCTCCATCTCTTTGATAAGCGACAGCAGCGCTCTGGTGGCTGGAGGCCGGCGTAACAGGCGTCAGATTGACCTTCTGGAAGAGAATCTGTTTCTCACCAGAGGACACTTTAAAAGTAAATGGCCTCTGTCTCTCCTCCATCTCCCTCCAGCGTAGCTCTTCAGCTCTCCTCTTCATCTCTTGTGGATCAAACTTCCCATCAGCCTCCTCCAATGACATCCTTCTTTGCTCCTCTTCCTCCTTTTTCCTCTTCTCCTCTGCTACCTTTTTCTTCTTTTCTTCCATTTCCCACAACCTCAGTTTCTCTGCTTCCTCCTCTTTCTTTCTTTCCTCTTCTTCTAGCAGCTTCCTCCTCCTCTCAGCCTCAAGCTCCTGCTGCCTCCTTGCCTCTTCCTCATGTTTCCTCCTTTCCTCCTTCTCTTGCCTCTTCCTGTCCTCTTCCTCTTTCCTCCATTGTTCTTCTAGTCGTCTCCTTTCTTCCTCTTCTTCCCTCTGCCGACGCTCCTCCTCTTCTCGCATCCTCCTTTCCTCCTCCAGCCTTCTCATGCGCTCTTCCTCTTGCCTTCTTTCCTCCTCCTCTCTGATCCTCTTTTCCTCCTCCTCCCTGATCCTCCTTTCCTCTTCTTCTCTGAACCTCCGTTCCTCCTCCTCTCTGATCCTCCTTTCCTCCTCCATTCTCCTTCTTTCTGCCTCCTTTAGCAGCCTCCTTGCCTCCTCTTCTTCTCTGATCCTCCTTTCCTCCTCCTCCTCTATTCTCTTTTTCTCTGCCTCCTCTAGCAGTCTCCTTGCTTCCTCTTCCTCTCTGATCCTCCTTTCCTCCTCCTCCATTCTCTTTTTCTCTGCCTCCTCGCGCAGCCTCCTTGCTTCCTCTTCCTGCTGTTGCATACGACATCTCTCCTCCTCCAGTTCACGCAGCCTCAGCTCCTCTGCTCTCCTCTTCCTCTCTTCTTCCTCCTGTCTGAACCTCAGCTCCTCAAGCTCTCTCATCCTCCTCGCCTCCTGTCTTTCCTCCTCATGGAGTCTTTGTTTCTTGAAGCTTTCAAGGGACTCAACAGACGCTCTACGCTGGTCGTCTGTGGAGATGCCAGCTGCTTCGAGGTCATCTTGGACCAAACCAGGAATGGATACCTCTTGGAGGTCCTGGAATGCAAAAGTCCAAGTAGTGTCAGCTTTTTTTTTTAACAATAACAAAGGGTGTCACAGAATAAACAAACATGCAAATCCACATTAAAAGAAACTCACCTGTGTGAATCGTCTGTGCTTGCGGGAAATCCTCTGGTTTTTCGGCTTGACGGAGAGTTTATGTTTGGCGGCAGCGTTGTCTAAGCGAGGAACTGACTGAGGGACGGCATCAAGGTTGATGGACTCAATGGTGCCAGTGAGTGGAAGAACTCGTTTGGACCTTGGAGACTTCACAGGGGGGCTGTGTGGTCCAAATGGCTGACCTCCCTGCACCTGCTTATGTCACAGTAAGAGCAATTAAACTACGACTTAAAGAGATCTCTGTAGACACAGTACACAGAAAGCAGAGGTGTCCGTGGTGTGATAAGGTTGTTTATTTATTTATGTGTTTATTTAATATTAATACAATCCCCTGATATGGAGTGATATACCAGAATCACAAAAGGTTCTAAGCAACTTCTTCACATGTTTAGTGCTACCCAAGACTTAAACAGAACAAATGTTGTGTTAAATTAATCAAACTTAAAACAAACAAAAAACCTACCAGTCAGTCAACTCATACCTTTGGCTCTGTTCCTGGTGGCTCCGCTTCTACCTGGGCCAAAACTTTCAGAGGGCTACGCGGAACCTCTTCCTCATCTGAGCTGCCCTCATCTCCCTCACTTCTTCTCAGAGAAGGAGGCCTTTGGCCAAACTTTATACCTTGTGCTATCTGCCTCTGTGAGGATAAAACACAATTAATGATTACAACATATCTAGTTGGAGCAAAAAGAGAAGTGAGTATACACCTCTGCACGGCCCACCTGCAGATTCCTAACTTTATCCGACACGTTTTCCTGGGACATGCTGTGATCCAGACCAGCCTCCTTCACCGGTTCCTCTGGAATGAAGATGCTGTCGTGTGAGAGAGCTCGAGATCCGATGGGATTCAACTCCCTGCAGGAGAAGGAGATTGTCTTCAGTGTTGCAGCGTGTCATCTGTCAGTCATTCATGCATTTATCACAAACTTGCAGCAGCAAAAAACTTTACACAGTGAAATGATTGACCCCGGAGTCCTGTTACAAGTCGTTACAGGTTGTAAGCTCGTATTGTCAGTGAAGCCTTTTGCCTTTAAAGTCATTTCAAAGCACAGCCTCACCTTTGTCTTTACAGATTATGTCACCTTGCAGCACTTTGCAACCACGTGATTTAACACTTTCATTTGTCTAGAAGTGAATAAGAAGCTGAGTTGCTTTTAGCAGAGAAAAAAAACAATGTACTGTTTTAAAAAAGCAACAAATTCCAACCTTTGGTAGTATAGTGAATGGACAATAAGCTCAGTTTCTGTGTGTATAGTATAGATGAATACATGTTTAAAAAAAAAAAAACTGATCCATGTACTAACCTCAGATTTTGATCGGACTCCTCATCAGATGTAACACCATTGCACACTTCCCCTGTGGAAAAACTGGTTTTTAGCTCTGCTCCATCAAAGCCCTCTCTCGCCTGTCTTTTCTTCTTCTTCCCAAACAGTCGTCTGAACGGCTGGAACTTGCCCTGTCGCCTTCTCTCTGGCGGTAGAAAGGAGAATGGATGACAACCACAGCCACATGCAATCACATCATTAATCTTTATATCTCACCCTCGGGCGAGATAACAAGCAGGACTGTACCTATGAGCATATTCATTGTTACACGCGTGTACTTAATGAAATGTGTTTGACGGAGTTAAAAGAAAACGAAGAAAACAGCAGATGGAATGAGAAGAAAACCTTGGCTCTTTGGTTCATACTTGTATTTACAGGAAGTGTGAAAGATCGACACCACACATAAAAAAATAGAGCACCAACAGCCAAAGCAATTAAAAAAAAAAAAGGAGGAGGTCACTAGCTCCCCTACTTACAGACTGAAAATAAATGCACAACTGAAAGTAGGGAAAGCTCAGTTATCGTCACAACTCCAAAAGCTATTACAAACTAGCCACATGTGAGCAGCACTACAGTAAATATAAAAGTTCAAGGCTACACATATCACAGGTACCACTGGAAGATTCGCTAATCTATCAGTCTGTGAGGTAATCACTTCAAGTGTGTCGATTTAGACACAATAAAACAGGGCAGCTGTCATAAACCCTGCTATTGCTACCAAGATCAGTGCTGATTCATGAGGAAGTGTTTGACAAAAGCGAAGAATTTAACTTTGGACTTTCAGTAGGTATCTTTACCACCTCATCATTGTTCATGCCAGTAAGTTATAAACTCTTACACTAAACTTTCCCATGTGTAAACGCGAAAACGTGTCTGTGCGCTCTCTTCTCAGGATCCAAACAATAACATAACAATAAAAGTTTGCTTGAAAACATTTAACAGAACCTCATTGAAACAGTAGCTCGTGCAATTCGCGATCCATCATAATTCAAAGCTTATTGCGCATACAAAAAACAAAACAATTATGATTCTGACCTTAAGCACAATTTGATTGAAGATGCATTAGATGATAATTGTGTTTAAGTGTGATTAAATCCTGACCACTACTGTAGCAGGAGAAGCAAATCTTGCTATTTGAACATGGATGGATGACACATTATGGCAGGAGCTCATTGGTTCTTCAGCTAAAACTGTAGACAAACAATTTAATGATCTCCTCCAAGAAAATAATGTGATTGCTTCCTGTTTTTTTCCCTCTTGGTTACCAGGATCAAATAGTTAAAAACAAATTACGAGAGTTTTGGCTTGCTTCAACTTCTGGAGTCAATCCAGTCCCTAAAGACTTCCTGAATTCTTGCTAGATCCAGGAAGTTTTTTAGCAGATTCTTTATCATTGAGACATAGAGCAAAACGTTGACATTTTATGTGATATCGTCACAAATACATACCTAACTGAAATTGGGAGACATCCCCTGATGTTCTTAAGCTAATATCACAAACTAATCTGGATCTGGATTCTCTCTCCTGATCCAGGGATTCAGTTTGTCCACAGAGTGGAGGAACTTTTCAGCCTTGGTTGAGGTGTTTCAACAAGTACTGCAGAACATTTCTCCTTCAAAACTACAGCAGCTACCCAGCTGTGTGTCTTATTTCTGTGTGTTTGTGTAGTTGTGAAGGTCCACTCCCTGAACTAAGTGAGTGAGGTTACAAAGCTACAAAGCTACTCTACACCACTGTGCAGACAGGCATTCTCTGGGCTCTGCGGGTATCCCTTTCAGTGCTATAAGTAGAAACCGGTGTGGGATTTCACTTTGCATGCTGCTCACTAAACGAAAGGCATGATGGGAAATGATACAGTAAACTAATTTCCCCACTCCTTGACCCTGAAGAACTCGAGGGTTTTTTTGTGTATGAAAGAGAGAGGACATGTTTACACAAAAAAATATTTTAGAAACTCAGAGTCAAGGGACAGATGTTTCCATCTTGTTCATCTTATATTTGACTCTGCTGAAGTCCCTCATCATTCCAAAAAAAGATCTATATAAAGATCTATATATACACTTTATCTTTTTTACCCTGTCCCCTAGCTTAAATCTTACCTAAAAAACATAACCCTCATTTTCTTTTTGAAAAATGTTCACAAGTATCAGCCAAGATAAAAATTATTCCCATTTTTTTCTATAAAAACTTAAAACTACTGTTGTTTTTCTTCAAAACATGGATGTGACAGGGTTACCTTCCATTGTGATGCCCCAGATCCCAAAGAAGAACATGTTCATTCCTTTTCTTGCAGATACTTCGAGACTTAGCTACTTTCGTGACTTAATGTGAAGCTTAGCTTAAATCTATGGGAGAAACTGCCACCATGGCTCTTTCCAAATTGAATAATAATAATAATAATAATAATAATAATAATAACTAGCAAATCCATGGCACACAAATCAGCATTTTATATTTATTTGCTTCTGTCATAGTAATACCTAAGTGTAAAACCTGTAGGTAGATGTTTGCTTGTAAAGCAGTGAATCACCAGCAGTCATTGTCTTTGGTCAGCGATGATATTATGAAAATGATGAATGAGCTTACATGACTTTGTATCATATTTGTATTTTTTCCCCCCAGTTTCTTATGGATATAGCACATGTAGGTGCAATCTGTCATATGTTACTCCAAAGGAAAACAGGAAGGAACAGAAAACACCTTCAGACATTGTGCTACGAAACCGCCCTTCAATATAAAATAAATTTTCAACCTAAACAAACTTTTAAGTCAAGATTTGTAAAGGATTCAAGACAAAACAGGTCTACTGCACAAAACATTTGTACTCTAAATAAATAATTTAATTATTGTTTTAATATTGTGGCTGATCTGTGTTTCTGCTGCCTAGCGTGGCTTCTTGTCATGTAATGCACCCTAAAATGACCAAAATGGAAGAAAATTGATAAAATCAATCAATCAATCAATCGAGACATTATGTCCACACAAGTCAAATGGATTTGGGTTTAAACTGTGCGTTTGATAAAATGGTTACAAAACACACATTAGAGTTAGATTCGTATCTAAATCTAACTCTGAGCAATACGCAAATCTATTAAAATCGTAAAATAAACAAGTATTAGGTATTTCTTATATTTGAGGAAGTGGAATAGGATTGATAACTAAAATCATGAGTCCCTGTATCTGCATCCAGACTGACAGCGCTGTCTTTGCTCCTGTCAACAGCTGCTGAGGTAGTTTAGATTCACAACACTGAAAAAAAAAACATACGAGAACTTTCGAGAGGTCACTAATGCTTTTAAGTGTTAAACAGTTCATGAATTATAAATATTAATCTTAGCCGTTTAACTACTAGCAATTACCCGATAGCCACATTAGCGTGTATTACGGTAGCAGCTAGCGGCTATGGCTAAACCTTAATGTGAACGTTAGGTAGCAAGCGTTATCAGTCCTGCAGATCTGTAACGGTAATAAACAGCGTGAATTTGACAAAATAACCCATTTTGTTAAGCTAAAAAGTGTTGTGTTTCTCTTGAAGTCAAAGATTGAAGCTGATAAAAGCCCACCAGCAAGTAGACAGAAACGTTGGCAGCCTACCTTAACAGCTCTAATTGATGAGCAACGACATATGGAGGTAAGGGTCTAGAAGTACAGCACTGCCTCAAGCAAAAGTAAAATAATAAGAATATATAGTAATGACAACAAATTTGTTAGACCACCAAATGAAAGGTTTATTCCCAGCTGCCAGAAATCAAGCAATAATTTTTAATATTTCTATTAAGGTTCAACCACCAGTATATGCACAAGGTCCTCAATCAAAATTATGCATTTTAATGCTAAATTTTAATGCTGTGTTTTCCAAAAAGCTCATGACATAAAGCACATCATCATTATCATTAGTATTTTTTATTTATTAGGCTACCAAATTCTCACCTCTTCAACAAAACCTTCGTTTTTTTTCTACTCTTGTGTAAAGCGCCCTTTGAAAGGCACTATACAAATCTATTATCATTATTATTATTATTGTTAATAATAATAATAGTTACAGCTGTTAAGCTAGCGATTAAAACTAAATGCATTCCTGAACAGAAAAATTAGTTTTAGCGGTTGAATGTTTAATTACTTTTTGATTTCTCAAAGAAGTCCAGTGCTGGCTCAAATTTGGGTATTAAAACAAGATTTCAGTTTGCTATATGCCTAATAAAAACATGAGGTTTTTAACAGTTTTCTACAATCTTTGTGTTTTCTTGTTTTTTATGACAAGTGGTCCAATAATTTTGTCATACCTTACAGTTAAAGTAAGCAGTAGGAGTGTGGTGGGAGCAGGTGGATATCTGGAGAGTTGGAGGCTTGCTCCAGAGAAAAGAGGAATTAAAGACAGAATACATGTGTGTTAGTGGGAGGGAGATCTGTAACAGTGGATTCAATTCAATTCCATTTCATTTTATTTATATAGCGCCAAATCACAACAACAGGTCGCCTCAAGGCACTTTATATTGTACAGTAGATCCTACAATAATAGATACAGAGAAAAACCCAACAATCATTTGACCCCCTATGAGCAAGCACTTTGGCGACAGTGGGAAGGAAAAAACTCCCTTTTAACAGGAAGAAACCTCCTTCAGGGAGGGGCGGCCATCTGCTGCGACCGGTTGCGGTGAGAGAAGGAAAACAGGATAAAGACATGCTGTGCAGGAGAGACAGAGATCAATAGCAGTTACAATTCAATCCAGGAGGATTCAGGGTCACCTGGTCCAGCCCTAACTATATGCTTTAGCAAAAAGGAAAGTTTTAAGCCTAATCTTAGAAGTAGAGATAGTGTCTGTCTCCTGAATCCAAACTGGAAGCTGGTTCCACAGAAGAGGGGCCTGAAAACTGAAGGCTCTGCCTCCCATTCTACTTTTAAATACTCTAGGAACAACAAGTAAGCCTGCAGTGCAAGGGTGAAGTGCTCTAATAGGGTGATATGGTACTACAAGGTCATTAAGATAAGATGGGCCCTGATTATTTAAGACCTTGTATGTGAGGAGCAGGATTTTGAATTCAATTCTGGATTTAACAGGAAGCCAATGAAGGGAAGCCAAAATAGGAGAAATATGCTCTCTCTTTCTAGTCCCTGTCAGGACTCTTGCTGCAGCATTTTGGATT